GAAGACAAAAAGAATGCAGATGTAATATATACAGGTCTCCCTCAACATTCGCATTTTCAACTTTCGCGGGCTTCACACATTCGCGAATTTCCAACCGCCAAATTCCCAGCCGACAAATCATATTTAAGTTTCCCGCCACCTGCGAGTCCCTACTACCCTCCCCCCGACCCCCGCAACTGCCAGCCAGCCCTCCCACCACTCAGTGTGGTGAGCGTTTTGTTTGTTCATTATTTGCTATTAAAGTACAGTATAAATAATGTAAACCCATTCATGACTGCATATTGGAATGGCTATTCGGACAGGTATTGGACGGTGACATCATGTGTTTACTCTTGAACACAGCAAAGAATCAAACATTTCTGCTACTGCTAATAACAACAACAGTAATAGTAATAATAATAATAATAATAATAATAATAATAATAATAATAATAATAATAATAATAAATACGATAGAATTGAAGAAGGAAATTGTACAAAAATACGAGGGAGTGGTTGACATATTGTCAGTGTGGGTTTGTTTATGCTGGAGTGAGCATTAGTCTCCATGCTCTTCCAAACATTTCACAATAATTCACTGTGCGACTGGAGTGGTAGAGGCAGTGGTTGAGGAAGCGTTTGAGGCAGTGGGTGAGGCAGTGTGTGAGGCAGCGGTTAACGCAGCGGTTGAGGCAGTGGGTGAGGCAGTGGTTGAGGCAGTGGGTGAGGCAGCGGTTGAGGCAGTGGGTGAGGCAGTGGTTCAGGCAGTGGGTGAGGCAGCAGTTGAGGCAGCGGTTGAGGCAGTGGTTGAGGCAGTGGTATATAATAACATACATGTTATTAATAATAATAATAAATGTTATTAATAATAACATGTACTATTATTATTTATAACATATGTTATTAAATACCACTGCCTCAACTGCTGCCTCTACCATTGCCGCAACCGCTGCCGCAACCGCTGCTTCAACCGCTGCCTCAACCGCTGCCTCACCCACTGCCTCACCCACTGCCTCACCCACTGCCTCAACCGCTTCCTCAACCACTGCCTCTACCACTCCAGTCGCACTCAATCTACAAGCACCAAACACAATGAATTACAGTGGACCCCCGCATAACGATGGCATCGCATAGCGATTTTTCCGCATAACGATTACTTTTATCGCAAAATTTTTGCCCCGCATACCGATTAAAAACCCGCATACCGATTTTCGTCCGAGACGCGTCCAATGTGCCCTCACATGTGCCGGCCGTCCCATTGTTTACCAGCCAGCCTCCGCGGTAACATCCAAGCATACACTCGGAATATTTCGTATTATTACAGTGTTTTCGGTGGTGTTTCTGGAAAATAAGTGACCATGGGCCCCAAGAAAGCTTCTAGTGCCACCCTGTGGTAAAAAGGGTGAGAATTAGTATGGAAATTAAGAAAGATTTTGAAGGGTTTGGGGCTAACCCTGAGAAGCCTATGCCAGTTGTGGAATCCATTGTGCCTACTTCAAAGATTAAGGAAATGTGTGCAGAGTGTTGAACTGCAAACCTTTATAGATGAAAAACACCCTGACACAGCTGTTGCAAGCCGTGCTTGTGACTATTTCAATGACAATGTTATGGCCCATTTTAGGAAAGTCTTGAAGAAACGGGAGGTACAGAGCTCTATGGACAGATTGTTGTGCGACAGAGGTCCAGTGACTCTGAAGCTGGTCCTAGTGGCATTAAAAGAAGAAGGGAAGTAACCCAGAAAAGGACTTGCTACCTCAAGTCCTAATGGAAGGGGATTCCCTTCTAAACAGTAAGAAGATAATGCTTCCCCTCCTCCCATCCCATCAATCATCACCAGATCTTCAATAAAAGTAAGTGTCATGTAATTGTGCATGCCTTTTTCAGTTTGTGTGTATTAAAATTAACATTTCATGTGGTAAAAAAAATTTTTTTTCATACTTTTGGGCGTCTTGCACGGATTAATTTTATTTCCATTATTTCTTATGGGGAAAATTAATTCGCATAACGATTATTTCGCATAACGATGAGCCCTCTTGCACGGATTAAAATCGTTAACCGGGGGTCCACTGTATTGTGAAGTGTTTGGAAGAGCACGGAGACTAATGCTCACTCCAGTATAAACAAACCCACACTGACACTGTGTCAACCACTCCCTCGTATTTTTGTACAATTTCCTTCTTCAATTCTATCGTATTTGTTATTATTATTATTATTATTATTATTATTATTATTATTATTACTGTTATTATTAGCAGTAGCAGAAATGTTTGATTCTTTGCTGTGTTCAAGAGTAAACACATGATGTCACCGTCTAATACCTGTCCGAATAGCCATTCCAATATGCAGTCATGAATGGGTTTACATTATTTATACTGTAGTTTAATAGCAAATAATGAACAAACAAAACACTCACCACACAGTGGTGGGAGGGCTGGCTGCCAGTTGCGGGGGTCGGAGGGAGGGTAGTAGGGACTCGCAGTGGTTGAGGAAGTGGTGGAGGCATTGGTGGAGGCAGTGGTATTTAATAACATACATGTTATTAAAGCATAACATGTATGTATTTAGTTCAATTTACAACATTTTCATGTATTTCATGATTGTTCAACAAGTTTAGGAAGCAGTATTGTATTATATTTCCCTACAATATATTGGGGCACCAAACATTCATGATTTTTCAACATTTGCAAGGCTCTTGATCCCCTAACCCTCGCAAATGTTGAGGGAGACCTGTACAGACTTTGCAAAAGCCTTCGACAAGTGTGACCATGGCGTAATAGCACACAAAATGCGTGTTAAAGGAATAACAGGAAAAGTTGGTAGAGGGATCTCTAATTTCCTCACAAACAGAACACAAAGAGTAGTAGTCAACAGAGTAAAGTCCGAGGCGGCTACGGTGAAAAGCTCTGTTCCACAAGGCACAGTACTCGCTCCCATCTTGTTTCTCATCCTCATATCTGACATAGACAAGGATGTCAGCCACAGCACCGTGTCTTCCTTTGCAGATGACACCCGAATCTGCATGGCAGTGTCTTCCATTGCAGACACTGCAAGGTTCCAGGCAGACATCAACCAAATCTTTCAGTGGGCTACAGAAAACAATATGAAGTTCAACAATGAGAAATTTCAATTACTCCAATATGGTAAACACGAGGAAATCAAAACTTCATCAGAGTACAAAACAAATTCCGGCCACAAAATAGAGCGAAAAACCAGCGTCAAAGACCTGGGAGGTCTTTGACGCTGTCGGAGGATCTCACCTTCAAGGACCATAACATTATATCAATCGCATCTGCTAGAAAAATGACAGGATGGATAATGAGAACCTTCAAAACTAGGGAGGCCAAGCCCATGATGACATTCTTCAGGTAGCTTGTTCTATCTAGGCTGGAATATTGCTGCACACTAACAGCACTTTTCAAGGCAGGTGAAATTGCTGACCTAGAAAATGTACAGAGAACCTTCACAGTGCGCATAACAGAGATAAAACACCTCTATTACCGGGAGCGCTTAAAGTTCCTGAACTTGTATTCCCTGGAACGCAGGCGGGAGAGATAAATGATTATATACACCTGGAAAATCCTAGAGGGACTAGTACCGAACTTGCACACAAAAATCACTCACAACGAAAGCAAAAGACTTGGCAGATGATGCAACATCCCCCCAATGAAAAGCAGGGGTGTCACTAGCACGTTAGGAGACAATACAATAAGTGTCAGGGGCCCGAGACTGTTCAACTGCCTCCCAGCACACATAAGGGGGATTAGCAATAGACCCCTGGCAGTCTTCAAGCTGGCACTGGACAAGCACCTAAAGTCGGTACCTGACCAGCCGCGCTGTGGCTCGTACGTTGGATTGTGTGCAGCCAGAAGTAACAGCCTGGTTGATCAGGCTCTGATCCACCAGGAGGCCTGGTCACAGACCGGGCCGCGGAGGCGTTGACCCCCGGAACTCTCTCCAGTTAAACTCCAGGTAAACACTTTCCATATCGGAGTAATTGAAATTTCTCGTCAATGAACTTTATACTGTTTTCTGTGGCCCATTTAACCCGTAAACGGTCCAAACGTATATATACGTTTTTTCAACATTTTAAAGTATGTAAAAAAAGTAGATCTTTTTGTTCTTTTACATTTGAAAATGGGTAAGAAAACTTTGATCTACTTTTTTTTTTGTTACATTTGAAAATATGTAAAAAAAAAAACGTAGATCTACTTTCGTAGCACTACACATGTGAACATAGATCTGCTTGGACCGTTTACGGGTTAAAGATTTGGTTGATGTCCGACTGGAGTCTTGCAGTGTCTTCAATGGAGGACACTCATGCAAATTTGGGTGTCATCTGCAAAGGAAGACATGGTGCTTTGGCTTACATCCCTGTCTATGTCAGATATGAGGAGGAAAAGGATGGGAGTAAGTACTGTGCCTTGTGGAACAGAGCTTTTTGCCATAGCCACCTCAGACTTTACTCTGTTTACTACTACTCTTCGTGTTCTATTTGTTAGGAAATTATAGATCCATCTCCCAACTTTTCCTGTTACTAGTTTATCATGTATTTTGTGCACTATTACACTGTGGTCACACTTGACAAGATGGACAAAGACAGGATGTTCCAAAGATGGGACACAGAAACAAAGGGTCACAATTGGAAGTTGAAGACTCAGATGAGTCACAGGGATGTTAGGAAGTATTTCTTCAGTCACAGTGTTGTCAGGGAGTAGAATAGTCTTGGAAGTGATGTAGTGGAGGCAGGATCCATACATAGCTTTAAGAAGAGGTATGATAAAGGTCATGGAGCAGGAAGAGTGACCTAGTAATTGCCAGTGAAAAGGCGGGGCCAGGAACTGTGACTCGACCCCTGCAACCACAACTAGGCGAGTACGTACGTACGTACGTACATGCATGCACGTACGCAAGCACGCACGCACGCACGCGCACGCACACGCACACACACACACACACACACACACACACACACACACACACACACACACACACACACAGAGTAAAATATACATGACACTGACCTGCGATGTTTCATCTTTAGCTCCATCTTGACCCCACCAAGAGGCTCTCCATTCAGCATAATTGCGAGAACAGATACAATTATAAAGTGCTACCATAGCATAGACCAAAAACAGCACAGCTGGTATCACCAAGACGGCTGTTAACAGCAGTTCTCCTGATGACGATGGTATGAAAGCCGATTCTTCTTGCCAATATGTTTCCTCAGTCTCTTCAGAATCTACAGAAATAAGAAATTCTGAATAAAAACTCTACTTTTTCTTATCATATACATGTATTTGCATAAGAATTTTCATAAATTGCCTGGGTTAACAAAATTAATTCATCAAGCTATTTAGAACAAAAAAAATTAAGACTACAGGTCTCCCTCAACATTCGCGAGGGTTAGGGGATCAAGAGCCTTGAAAATGTTGAAAAATTGTGAATGTTTGGTGCCCCAATATATTGTAGGGAAATATAATAAAAATACAGCTTCCTTAACCTACTGAATCATGAAGAATCAACACATGAAAGCATTATAATACATACATGTACTGTATATACATACATGCTCCTCCCACTCATATATTTGTCCAATCTCTTTTTAAAGCTACCCAAGGTCCTATCGAAGCTAAAACCTTACATAAGAACATAAGAAAGGAGGAACACTGCAGCAGGCCTGTTGGCCCATACTAGACAGGTCCTTCACAATCCATCCCAATAACAGAATATTTGCCGAACTCAATTTTGAATTCTACCCAGGCAATAAGCTTTGATAATTCTATTAACTCATGTGCAAGTCCCACTCAAATCCAACCCCTCTCACTCGTGTATTTATCCAACCTAAATTTGAAACTATCCAAGGTTTTAGCCTCAATAACCCTACTAGGCAGACTGTTCCACTCATCAACTACCCTATTTCCAAACCAATACGTACTTTCCTATATCCTTTTTAAATCTAAACTTGTCTAATTTGAATCCATTATTGCGGGTTCTCTCTTGGAGAGATATCCTCAAGACCTTATTTATATCCCCTTTATTAATACCCATTTTCCACTCATACACCTCGATCATGTCTCCACTCATTCTTCGTCTTACAAGTGAATGTAATTTAAGGGACTCCAATCTTTCTTCATACTGAAGATTTCTAATGCAATGAATTAATTTTGTCATTCGTCGTTGAATGTTTTCTAACAAATTTACATCCATTCTGTAAAATGGAGACCAGAACTGAGGTGCATAATCTAGGTAAGTCTTTACTAATGACGCATAAAGTTGTAGTATAACCGCTGGACTTCTGTTGCTTACACTTGATATAAATCCCAGCAATCTATTAGCCTTATTATGCACGCTTAGGCACTGCTGTCTTGGTTTAACCCTTTCAGGGTCCGTGCCACAGATCTACAGCTTTACTTTGAGGGTTCAAACCGTAGATCCACGCCATGAGCTCAGCTCACTCTGATAAGCTGTGAGCAGTAAATTTGGGCATAGATATGAGAGAATACATCTATGTGGTATGTGTGCACCACATAAAACAAATCCTGCAGCACAGGGCATAAGGAGACAAAAAAAACCGAGACCATAATTTTCGATTAAGACAGCGACTTTGCAGTATTTTTTCGTATGTTTTTTATAGTTGTATTTGTGATTTCTTGGTCTCATTTGATAGAATGTAAGATAAATTTATTGGTTTTAGTACTGGAAATTGCTTTAAACTGAGCTCAAAGTAGCGGAAATGTTAAATTTTTGCCGATGTTCAGGGGTAAACAAATGACCTCACACGTCTAATACACGCCTGCTGGGGGGCTAATATACATTCACAAATGTGTTGATATTATTTATACAATTATTACAATATTGCATAACAGCAAATCTTCTGTTTTATGGTTTGAATAAAAATTCATTATGTGAATAAAAAATCAAAATGGAATTCACTTTTAAAGCCTGAAAACATAACTAATGAACAGAGGAAATGTTAGTTTAGTGCCAGGAATGCCTGCATTGTTTATTCTGGACCCTATTTTGAAATTGGAATATTTTGAACTTTGCATTAAATTGGCCAAATTACCAATTTCCGATCACTTTATTTTGTAGTTGCAGTTAGAATGATAACAAATTCTCACTACAGGCAGCACACTCCACCAATATTCAAAACACTCAACCTACTCACCATACAAAACATCCATACTTATTACTGCACTTATTACATACATAGAACACTTAACTCTGATATTAACCCTCCCCTCAAACATCTCCTTGCCAACCTCAACAGAACACATGACCATAACACAAGGCACAGATCACTCTTTGATGTTCCTCGTGTCCATCTCACGCTATGCAAAAACTCAATGCACATAAAAGGCCCTAAAATCTGGAATTCATTACCTGTAAATATAAAAGAAACACTACCTGTTTATAAATTCAAGTCTCTTCTCAAAGATCACTTACTCATTCAAAACCAAATAAATACTGAATAACTGAACCTTATAAATTGTATATCCTATATGTTACTCACAATTATATCACACAAATGTTAAACCTAGGACCCAATCTAACTTTGTTATTTTTTTAAATACACTACCTAACAGAATACTCCATTCGACTGAATGTACAGCAATGCATGCAACCATATGACCTGTCTTTGTAATACTCATTTGTGCTTTATAGTTATCTGTTTACAATAATGTTTTATCACTGATTTCATCATTGCTTAGTTAATCTTAAGTTAATTTTAAGCCAGCCCGTAATGCTATGCATATAAGTGGCTTTGGCATGCTGCTCTTACCTGTATTTTTTTGTACCTCTGTATGTATGCTAAAAAAAACAGTTGACTTGGCGATTTCTTGTGCTCACTCGATAGAATAGAAGTAATACTAGTGAAATAGCTAAGAATTTGGTCAACTGGAATAATGTAATTGGCCTAAAATGGGAGTCAAAGTCGGCAAAATTGCCAATGCATAAATATCGCTGACACATCAAAATTCGCGAGAGCATAATTTCGTCAATTTTCCATCAAATTTCATACATTTTGTTTTATTACCTTCAGAAAAAGATTCTCCCCTGTTTCATAAGAAAAAATAACAAAATTATTTTCTGAAAATTCTTGGACACTGATGCACACTTTGAAATTTGGCCTCTGGACTCTGAAAGGGTTAAGGTTGCTGCTTACCATAACCCCAAAATCTTTTCGCATTCTGTATGGCTAAGTTCAACATTATTAAGCTGGTAGGGACTAGGGTTATGAACATTTCCAAGCTTTAGAACTTTACATTTATCTACAATGAATTGCATCTGTCACTTTTCTGACGACGAACTGAGTTTGTCTAAATCCTCCTGAAGTTCCAAGACATCAACGTCTGAATCGATTATCCTACCTATCTTCATGTCATCAGAAAATTTGTTTATGTCACTAGTAATTCCCTTGTCAAGGTCATTTATATATACAGTAGATCGTTATTTAGCATGAGTTTATTTGGCACGATTTGAGTATAGCACAACTGAAGAACTGCAATACATTTTTAAGTAGCACGTAATATGATCAATTTAACATGATTCGTGGGAGGGGAAAAAATTTAGAGCGTGCAGTCGCCCGGTTGCCCGTGGTGGGTTATACCATTGAGTCAATGGGGGAAGACTACTGCCATCCCACCACCACCCACACCCACCACGCTCCCAGCCTACAGTTTGGTTCATACACGTGCAAAACGGAGGTACTCGGGAACCTAGCTGCGTTTATATACATACATATTTTCTTAATTTCATTGCCATTTGTTAAATCTGCCTAGCAATAATGGCACCCAGTAAGCATACAAGTGTTGCTGAAAGTGACAAGAAAAGGTTTAAGTGTTCAAGTCTAGGAATTGTGAAGAAAATTGAGATACAGTATTGGACAAGCTTAAGAGTGGATCCCGTGTGGTGGATATAGTGAGGGCCTATGGCCTTAATGAACATAAGAACATAAGAAAGAAGGAACACTGCAACAGGTCTACTGACCCATGCAGGGCAGGTCCATGTCCCCCCCCCTGGATTAGCCCAATGACCCCCCCGGATTAGCCCAATGTCCCACAGAGTCTGGTCACCTCCACTCAAGGAAGGAGCATGGCACCAGACCCAGCAACACAAGCTAGCCAGGCCCAACTCACACCCACCCACACCCACTCATGTATTTATCTAACCTATTTTTAAAACTACACAACATTTTAGCCTCAATAACTGTACTTGGGAGTTTGTTCCACTCATCCACAACTCTATTACCAAACAAGTGCTTTCCTATATCCTTCCCGAATCTGAATTTTTCCAACTAGAAACCATTGCTGCGAGTCCTGTCTTGGCTGGAAATTTTCAGCACGCTACTTACATCCCCTTTATTTATTCCTGTTTTCCACTTATACACCTCGATCATATCCCCCCTAATTCTACGCCTTTCAAGAGAGTGCAGATTCAAGGCCCTAAGTCTATCCTCATAGGGAAGATTTCTGATACATGGGATCATCTTTGTCATCCTCCTCTGTTCGTTTTCCAGAGCATTTACACATATCCATTCTGTAATACGGTGACCAGAACTGAGCAGCATAGTCTAAATGAGGCCGAACCAAGGATATATAGAGTTGAAGAACAACCTGAGGACTTCTAGATATGAAGCCAAGAATTCTGTTAGCTTTACTGCGAACACTAATGCACTACTGTCCTAAATCCTTTTTGCAATCAGTAGTATTAAGATTTACATTACAGTGGACCCCCGGTTAACGATATTTTTTCACTCCAGAAGTATGTTCAGGTGCCAGTACTGACCGAATTTGTTCCCATAAGAAATATTGTGAAGTAGATTAGTCCATTTCAGACCCCCAAACATACACGTACAAATGCACTTACATAAATACACTTACATAATTGGTCACATTCGGAGGTAATCGTTATGCGGGGGTCCACTGTATTTAGTTTATATATGGCATGGTTATTTATCTGTCCAACATTTACAACTTTGCATTTGTCAATATTAAACTGCATCTGCCACTTCTCCGACTACTGCATCAGTCTATTCAAATCATCCTGGAGTGCACTAGTGTCCTCATTAGAACGAATTGGATGGCCTATTTTGGTGTCATCAGCAAATTTGCTTATGTCGCTATTTATTCCCTCATCTATGTCATTTATGTAAATTGTGAACAACAACGGGCCCAACACTGACCCCTGAGGAACATCACTTATGAAGTGCTCCCATTCTGATTCCTCCCCATTTATGCAAACTCTCTACTGCCTATTTGTCAGCCATGCCTCTATCCAGGAAAAAATTCCTCCTATTCCGTGTGCCTTAAGTTTCCTCAATAGCCTCTGGTGTGGAACTCTATCGAAAGCCTTACTGAAGTCCATATA